TGGTAAGTTTGCTGATCTTGGTATTCTTCGTCTGATCGAGTCTGTCGGTTTATCTAAAACTGTGTGTGAACTTCAGCCTTTCTGTGGGCAAGTTGTCAAAGAATTCTATGCTAATCTCACCCCTGCAGTGTTTGATTCTAATAGCCCTCGTTCTCACAAGATTTTTCTTCGAAACTGTTTGATTGATGTGTCTCATGCCTTGTTTAATGTTCATCTTGGTTTACCCTCTGATCTTGATAACTCTTCCCTCACTGAGGTCGATTTAGATGTTATGACCAAAGTTCTTACTTCTGGTCAGTTAGATACATGGCCTGGTTCTAATTTGCCTGTGAGTTCACTCTGTTTGGTCGCTAATCTATTGCATAAAATTGGTGCTGGCAACTGGACTCCTACTTCGAACAAAACTTTGCTCACGGAGTCCCAGAGTAAAGTCATTTATTGGGTCATGATTGGGAAGGTTTTCAGCTTTGGGGATCTTGTCTTTGAAATTCTTCAAACTTTTGTCTCTAATATTGAGTCTCGCAAGACCCTTCCTTTTCCTTGTCTTATTTGGTCCTTCTTGGCTGCCCACAATTTTTCTGTTAATCCCCGCTACCAAGACTCTCTCGAGAACCCAGGAAAAGCATTCTCTGTGAGTGCTCGCACTCTTAATGAAAAGGGGACAACCAAGGTCACAAGGGAACTGGCTCACTCCTTGGTTCCTAAAAACTGGGATGAGTTTGTGGCACAACAACTTGGAGAGTGGGATGATTTGGCCAAGAAAGTAGCTGCTTAGCAGGCCTACCTTCGACAAGTGCTGCAAGCAGTCAAGGGAACGAAGCGAAAGAACTCGGGGATAGGCCCTTTGGCATCCTGTAGTTCGAAAAAGGGGGAGAAGGGTTCAGTTGCTGCTGCTGGCAAAGGTGATGATGAAGCTTCTGATTCTGGGGGAGATAGCACTGATGAGGCAATTGCGAAGTATTATGATGATGATGAGTAGTAGATTGTTTTCTGTGGAGGGATGTAGGGAGGACTTTATGTAATAAAGAACCTCGTATTTGTTTGCTTTTGTGATGTGGTTGGTTGCTACTGTTTTTGAGTCACTTTGGATGTAGTTGTTCTGCTGCTTTTGATGACTACTTATTTTGCTTTTGATGACTATTTGTTTATTCTGAAATTCAATGGAGACTTGTTTTGATTCACTCTATTAAATTTTGATGGCTACAGGAACTGAGGGGGAGAACTGTGGTTATACAATGACTATTTTTCTGTGTGGGAATGTTTGGACTAACCCCTTGATGTGGTTTACTATTTGGTGCTTGTTGTTTTAATTTTCAGGAGACTTTCAAGTCTGTTATTTTCGAACTAGATGCCAAAGGGGGAGATTGAAAGATATTTTTATTTGGCATTAGTTCGTCAGTTCGAACAAGCACCTGGAACCACAGAAAAAGGGAAGATCTTCAAATATTTTATTTCATTAATTGAGTTTATTTTACATTCCATATATAAGATATTATGGATCTTATTATGGTATTTTATTTTGTAGGAAATCGGACTTGAAAGAACTAAAGGAAGAAGAGGCGTGCATGCTAAGGAAATCAAGGAGAGAGAATGAAAGATTCACTTACCTAAGTTGAGCTACAATTATGGAAGAAAATCATGCTTGGAGTCCTATGCCTTGTAGAAGACTCTAACCCTAAGGAGTTCATATAAATACCCTAGAGGAAGCTCCTATTGCGGCTGCTGAAGTTAGAGAAATTTTTAGAGCAATATTTGAGCTTCATATTTTCTATTCTTTTCAGTTGTACACAATTCAGTACGAGAGTTTTTACAAACTCAAGGACTGAAGCTGTTTTGTGTTTAGTTTCTTTGTTTCATCAAACTATCTTTTACTTTTACACTTAGGGAGTAAGTGTAGGATAAAAAGTCCACGGGACGTGGCCGGAGAAATAGTTGATAGGATCGTGAGTAGTGTTGGCTAGGCTTGAAGGGAGTTCGATTCTTTGTAAGTCCAAACTATGTTCGTGTTTGATCTATCAATGAAAGAGCTCTGAGGGGAAGTGGGATGCTTCCCTGAAGAGTTTTTAAATCTTCAGATTATTGCTTCCGCATTCTTCAGTTCTTAATTTAGTTCGTACTACAAATAGCGCACTCCGGTACAGTTGAGACCTGATAGTTTATTTATACTAGTACAATATATGTGTATTACACGAGTATTTGATAAAATAATTAAATGTAAACCCAAAAGTTAAAGAAAAAAATGTTTACATATTTTGTTGAAGCTGAGAAAAAAAAAATAAAAACAATATATAACAATTTATAATAAAAAAACTAAGTGAAGTAATAATATTATTTTAAATTCTGAAAACTAATTTATATACATCATTATTTTTATTTAAAACATGTAAGAGACTAATATGGATAAAACACAAAGTTTGGGAAGTAAGATAATATGCATACTATAGAAAGAAAATAATACATATATTATATGAAATAATTTAAATATATTAAATATGTGTATATTAGACAATTCAAACCTAAACTATTTGCTATAAAAATCAATAGTTTAAACTTTAAATATATTAAATATGTGTATTACGTGCAAAGTTGGGCTTGATTGTTTATGAATTATTTTACTCACATTTATTTCATACTAAAAATTTAATTCAACTTTAATTCAACCCCACTATTTTTAATATTATTTTAATAATTAAATAATACAAACCAATCATCTTTACCCATCATTTATATATATATATA